TATTTATTGAGCGTACGATATTATACGAGCAAGGTTAAGTGAAGTGTGGTGTGGGCTTGTCCCCTAGCGCCCGGGCGGTCCGCCTCCGCCAGGTGAGGCCGTGAGAGGATCATCGCCTGCGTATCGCAGGCGATGATGTTTAGTCTGTGACGTCATAAATAAACAGGACATTAGTCGATGGACCAATATAAAGAGCATCGGTTGACTTCCCATTTCATAACTGTCTTCTCACCGTGCTCACCTGACGTCCACGCTCTTGATCGTGCCTACGTGACTTTTGGGAGAACACACAAACGGGCACACAAGCAGACACACAAAGTTAGCGCTTTATATATAGAAAGGATAGATCGATTTTAGTTAGTCGTACATAAGTTTCTACCATCAGATAATTTCCAGGAATGCACTGAGGTGGGAAATCCTGCCCACTTTTGTACGATCGCATGACATGGCTTCCTTTTCTGAGAATAACAGTCAATAAGAAAAGAACTACATATGACAATTTTTTGTGATAGTTTCTACTATTAATAGAAACGAAAATTCAGGACAGGCACTCGGCTCTTGCAGTAATCCGTTTCGTTTCTGTTTTACTGTGACCCAAGGTATTGTTTCCCAGTCAATTATTTCCTGATTCCCATTTCTATTCAACAGTTATATCTTACTTTTCCCTTCTATTCATTTCAGTTATAGACTCAGGGAAAATCCTTTAGAGCTGCAGTTGAAATCTTTAAGACTTTAAGTGCATCACTAAAGGCCTACGAGGAATACCGTAGAGACAAAATGACAAGAAGCGTCGAGACTGCTAGGAATTAAGCGATGGCTTCCTTAATTTCCCCTTTCAATTTGGAAATGATATTAATATGTATAACTAGGGTAGAATTATTATAAGACTACCTACGTCGTATGAAGGCGATACGTAAGTTCATAAGAGCTTATCCATCATCTTGGTAGCAGGTTTGTAAAGAAAAGTCTTATAGAGTTAAAACTGTTGAAAAAAAAAGTGTCGAGATTCAGGGTCAAACTCCAAGACCCTGAACACAATTCAAAACCAAACTTCTCTTTTTTCCCTTCGGTGTAACAAATGCAACCATTCCATTGGTCATCGTCATTTTTTTATCCTTGAAAGCTTTTTCATTCTTTTTAAGTGTCGTGGTAGGCTTAATCAATGAATTAAGCATTGCCTTATCTTATAACAGTAGTCACCTTTCATGAGCCACAATTTCTCAACCGTGCAGATAAGTGGAAGACACAAAGCGCAAGCATAACACTTGGAAAATTTTTTTGCGATAAAGGAAGGTCTTTAAAACTATAATTCTCAAGATTTTAGGAAGGTTGAGAAAACTTTTAGGTAATCAAGGATGTCTTGGACGCCGTTTGTTTTAGAAAAGTTTATGGTACCCATGGTAACTCTGTGATGGATGCGATGGACTGCACTAACTGCCATCGAAAATTCCCCTTCACTGAGTGTTCCGCGTGCTTTGCTAAAAATTATTCATTAGTTATATGTGCATTACAGAAAGCAAGAAGTGGTTTTCGAACGGCCATAGCCAGTGAAGTGGTTATATTATAATTTATTGATCAGCACAGTAATGGCCTTACAACTTCCATTTTAGTGAGTTATGTATTTAGCGCTTTCGAGAAGTGTGAGCATTTTGAAAGGGAGCGCTCGTGGTCTGTTGTCGCTATCTCTGCCCGGATTATCGGCCAGCTAGTTTTTGACAGCGGCGCTTTTCGCAATTGAGCATTCAAAATCATTCACATTGATGGCATGATATGAGGACGACGGATAAGAAATTAGGTCGCATTGAATCCAGCCGGCAACGGAAAACAAAACACCGAATCACCCTCGGCTTCGTTCCCCCACAACCTCCTTTCAACGATCCTTTAAGAACAATCTGGCATGCAAGCATGCAAGGGAATAATAAGCTTCAGTCACGCAACGTCTAGATGACAGTGGCCTTCATTTCAAAACCAGGACTATCGTGGGTTTTCCATTTTCACATGCCTTGGAACCGGCAATATCTCCATTCCCAATTTGTAAGTATGTTTTTATGAGCAATTATTCAGCACCGCCTCACATCCGAATCTGGTCATGAATACATAGATTAATTAGAAGATTAACTAATAAGTTTAATTACCTCATTGCCACTGAGAAGCACCACCAATTGTTACTTGCCGTTTCGTAAAGTCGCTTGCAACTTACGTTTAACATCAAAACGTTTCCTACCTGTTGCTTTATCTGACTTTGACTTCACTTATGCACAAGCTTAATTTTTCCACCTAAAAGGGTTAATCACTGGAGAACCTGGAGATCCCGCAATGCATTGAGTCAAACCCCATCTAAGATCTTCGGGAAGTCACCTGAATCACATACAAGTTGATCTAAATGATGCGAACCCCCCTGTGCTACATTGGCTGAGGAACCGCATGGTACAAGCAGATGAAAAGTTGCCTCTATAAATTTGGATCACAATCGTATGCGTGTATGTGACGCTTTTGCATAATTATTACTTGAGCAAATCACTCCTAGCTTCTTTTCATCTGATTTTAATGATTGCCTATAATTCCATAAACACCTTCAACTCTTTTTATGCCTTTCTTGTCTCAGCCACTCGAATAAAACTTCCCGTTGGCTTTTTTTGTAGAATTGGTAATCTGAAGTAACATGGTTCCAAAAGCATAAGAGCCTACATTGCACTACCTTCGTGATCTGAGCAGTTCAGCGCAACATCTAACCAAATCTCCCCCTGATTTGCCTGTAGTCTCCCTACAAATGTAGGGGTAGATACGATGTGGCTCACTGCGAAGACTCGCAGACAATCACGATTTGGCAGTCTATCTATATATTCCCATTACCCATTTCCCAAACGAAACTTATAAAAGTTGTTAAGCATTCAATGAAAGGCTCTTTAGTATTGGAGTGTCACTGGTCCATCTCAAGAGGAAATTGTTCCTGTTACTGATAGACAGACTGGAACCATGCCCTCCCTTGACAATCAAGTCCTTTAGTTCCTGCACAAAGTTTGAGTTTTTTGCCGTCACTCACCTTTCTCACGTTCCTTGCTCCATGCCCCTCTCCCCAACTCGATCTGCTCGGCTGTCGCGTCCTATTTATTCTGACTCAGAAAATTTTTCTCCCCACAATGTTTGAATGCAGCAAATGTCAATGAGTGCTTATTTTCTCTGAACGCATTGAATGCTGACAGTGATTGTTGAATCGCATAATGACATATGTACTTCTCAATATTATCTTTCATAGAACTACTTTTTTGACTTTATTTCAGGAGAACAGTATTACATGTGACATGTGCGATTGGAAACTAGTTAGTTATACTAGTGATTAGATTACAGGCATGACAGATATCCTGAGTTCGCCAACAATGAAATCGGGTAATGTGTTGGCACTACTTGACACTCTGTACGCATCAGGATTCGCTTCAGCGTCTCCAAGCGCTCCAATGCTTGAAGGTAATTTCGAACGTTGCAGTTGTAGATGTAAGTCTGAGCGGAAGTCTTAGCCATAACTAGAAATGTGAGTCGCTGCAGCGAACGGGACAGCAATATCGTTTCGTACACATCTTGTAGGTAAAATTAATAGGTTATGCATCAGATACCTCGGGCCATTGGAAGAGTCAATCGTGAAGTGCACAACTTCAAGCGAAAACTCAAAATAAAAGCAAACCTTCAGAATGAAGACTCTTAGAAGTATGTAGAGTAAGCACAAGCTCTGTATTCAAAGATGCAAATATCAGGAATATAACGCCATTTTTCAAGAGACACAGTGAATCTTTCACCCAGAATCGTCCTCTTCTATTCTAGGCACATTACCTGTCTGCTTGATCTGAGGACAAACTGATACATTTACGAACGTTAGATCTGATGGCGATCTACTACATATGTATTCAGTGTTTTGAATCGATTCGCAATTATTTTGTTACAACATGAATTGAGATCAAGAGCAAGGCATATCCTGACCTGGCCCATTGTCGAGTGCTCCAGTATTTGCGAACACCTGCAGGAAGACCCTTTACATTTAGATGGATTGCTCGACAAGTAAGTCAACTTGCTTCAGGGAGGACAATGCACACCCTCTATGCTGTGTCGTTTATTGTTTATGTGTCAAACTGCATGTGTGATTGGTTTCATGTTTGGGCAACACTACGGGTTCGTTTGCTTCGTAAACTACATAATTCGTAAACTACATGTTATTAATGTAGAACACACATGGGCCACAAGGGAATGTCAGTGCTACCTGCGTTATAAACTTTGCATTCAGCTTTTTTTACGTGGTATTGCTATGTTTGCAGGGAATGGTGACTTCTTTCCCTTTGGAGAACTGGCTTGTTATCTCCTTGGTGGTGACAGTTGTGGCCGGATCAATGTTAACCTGGTTATTACTGGTTAGCTTTTTATCCCATGCGAGAATTCTTTTTATTGATTTATTTGTTTATCCTACTTAATATAAAGCGCTTCGTCTGTCGTCTGTCGTCTGCCTGTCTGTCGTTTTGTCTGTCACGTGTTCCTTAGTACCTCTAGATGCGCCTAGACAGACTGGGTCAAGCGTGGGATGGGTGGGCCATGCCCGAAATATACAAAGCACACATCAGCTTGGCGGAGCCCCACCAACAGTAGGCGTCGCGTGCATCGAAATGTGCTGTACTGAAGACCACGATTTCGAATTCAGTCACAAGACGGCTTCAAAATTGGGGTTTGAAGGTGGCTAGAGGTGTGCATTGGTAAGTTAGATCCAACTGAGGATATCCACCCCCGATGGGCGTGGCATTCTTCAAAAATGCAATGCTTTATGCAAACATTTTGGGAAATCATAACTCCTGTCCCCGTGGCTAGAAAGTTTAAAGTTGGAAGGAGTATAGGCGGCGGGATGGGAACATTTATAGTTGGTGGCAGACCAGACTTCGCCCACAGGAGGCGGGGTTCGCGCGGAAACTCATAAATCCGATAAAGAGCCATAATGAAAATCAGCTAATGTGGCTCCGTCCCTCATGGCCAGAGCGCCTAGCGCACGCGATAGCGTGCGTGGCCGCCTGGTTTATTTATACACTTACAGAGTGCTTCACAAATGTTAGTGACCTTGCATTAAACCTAAATTAGTAATTCTTATATCACATCAGCGGAGCTTGAAAGGTTATGCAGCGTTTTACCGAGCCTAGTATCCCTCCGGATTCGGTTAATTGGTACCAGACTCGCCTGGGAAAATAGAAGACTTGTACTGAGACTCAGAGGCGTGTACATCGGCTGGCCAGCACAACTCATTGTGAAGGCCACGTACTCATTCACAAAGGCACTATTATGATTTATGAAATTTGAAGCCGAGGGCCGCATCACCAGAACAGGATATATTGCCGCCAAGGGCTTCCTCCTTTTATATTTAACATAATCATCTGTAGTTCTCGAATACTTGAGGCGATGCTTGTGAATCTATAGGTTACCGATATCTGTCATTATCGGGAGTAAATAGCAATCAAGTGATCACTGCTACGCAATAAGCAAAGGTGGTCTAACGCTGAGTGCGCACTATTGTTCCATGATCCTTGGATGGATTATTATCCGCCTAGGCTGGGGAGCCTTCCATTCCTTCATAGTTCGTTGATTGGTGGGCTAGCGCTATACAATGCACGCGTTAGCGTGCATTGTTTACCACCATCGCTCATCTCCCATGGAGTCATTCAGCGAATTATCTGATGTATCAGAATGAGATAGTTCTCTCTAGATTGACACGCTATTATCGCTTTAACGGTATCCGCTAGATATAATAGGTTGATGCATAATTACTGCGGATTTTTTCGCGGTTTCTTTTTTATCGATACAATTCGAACATTGAATCCGAAATTTAATAGAAATAATCTTCTCACTTTCCTCAACAAAAATATGTCTAGGAAGTCATCCTCAGATACGCCACATTATGCCTTATTACTTCGGGAAGGGATGGAAGCTGGCACAGTCATTACGTGATCTCAACGAACTTCTCGACGATGGAACCGTTAGCCAAAGCCGAATAAGGATTGAGATCTGCTTCCACCGCCCTATAGACCAACAAAAACTTTTATAGATTATCGCCTCAATCGTCCGTTGAAAAATCGGCTGACGAACAGAACTTTCGACAAATGGATGGCTTGATGGCCGATGTCAAGGCGTGGATCGCCTCCAAGAATCAAAACTTCTTCGTCTGTGGATTTCGACTGCCTTGCAAATGAGGAGCAATGCTTGGCCTAGGTGATGGATATGTTCCGGATAAATTATTTGAACACATCTTTGTTAAATATTTCTATCGTTTCTTCAAGCAACATTTGCTGAAAAAAATCCGCAATAATTATGTATCGACCTAATAATGTATTTCATTTAAGCAGAATCAATAGTGGTTAATCATGGCCCTGTCCACCTCAGTGCAGTCACATTCCAGTATAAAACTACTTTTATTTCAGCTGCCTTTTAATCATTTTCACAGCATTCTAAAAGATTTCAAAGAGAATAATGAATTCGTGATCCTAGCCCCTCCCACCCCTGTGTAAACTTCGCTCGAGTCAAGGATTTCACCGCATCCCCTCTATAACCTTTGATCACTTTTTTTCCTGCATTCTGGAACGTTTCTGAACAGAGTTGTGGATTTTTAATCGAAGCCCCGTCTTTTTTAGTACAAGCCCCGTCCACTTATGAGGGTTGACCGCATTTCTTCTATAAGATCTAACCACTTTTTCCCACGTTCTAGAACGTTAATGAGCAATGTTGTGGAATTTTCGAGCCCGCCATTTTAGGTGCAACCTCGCCCACTTATGGGAGTTGACCACATTCCTTCCATTACACCGAACCTCTCTTTTCCGGCGTCCTAGAAACGTGTTGAACAGAATTTTACTTGTTCTCGGAAAGTAGCTTCCACTCAACGTACGCCCCACCTTCTAAGGGCGGAGCTCCGCTTAGCTAACATGTGCTCTATTGGTCTTGCCCTGTGCTCACCCCATTACAAAATTGACCCGACCTCTCCAGGTCTTGCTTTAGGCAGCATTGAATTTCGTGACAATCAAGCAGACACCCCTGAAATTTACTATACAGTCACATAAAATAAGATCTGTAGATATCTTGGACAATTGACCTCTTCTTTTGAATTTTTATGCTAACAATCACCGCAACGAAAGGCACTGGTTTTGGTAATTTCATATATGCTGTAGTAGCCATGACCTTGCATAACGCCTGATCTTTTTATCGTTATAGATCGGTTAGCGGACTTTGTGATCCGTGGTAGCAGGTTCGCACGCGGCGGTGGTCTCGCGGCAATGATTGTAGTTGTCCACCGGAAGATCGAATCCTACGGATCCGATATTTTCTTCCCGAACATTGCGTCGCGCTCGCCGCACCCGCTGCGTATCGCACAAAGGCGATGGAATTTTGCAGCACTCAACTTGTGAGTTAGGGAGTCCTTTGATTATATGAATTTGCTGGCGGCTCCCTTTGATTGAAGTGCGATTTTGATTGTCATTAATATATGTGGGAGGAGGCATGCCAAACAATCAAATCTACTGAATCAAAAAAAGGAAAAGTAACAGGAAAGCAATCAAACAATTAGAAAAGAAAGTCAGCAAGAAAGGGTAACAGAACTTCTCCCCGGTTGCGGACATTCGCCTTGCGGCATGCGGCAAATCTTACTGCAACTACCGTACTCATCCCGCTTTCCCACCAATCGATAGGACGCAATATTTTTTGCTGATTGCCTTTCTTTTTTATCAGTTTTGACTTTTTTTTCTTTTTCGTTTTTATGTTAATTAGACTTTATTATTTGGAACGATTCCTCCTATATTAGCGACGATGAAGACCGCATTGGAATTGAAGGGAGCAGCCAGCCAATTCAAATAATTAAAAGGCTTTCTACATCACAAATTGCGCACTCCAATCTTCTATCGCAACCCTGCGATATGAGGCGGGTGCGACGTGCGCGACGCTATTTTCCGGGGAAAGATACCGGGTGGCGCGCAATTCACGCATGACCTCATTAGAGCTCTTCGCGCACGCAGCATCGCTTCAGTACCCTTCTGTTAAGATGGACCAAATAAGATTTGCAGTAGCCCACGGCTTGGCAATGAGCTCCATCGAGATCAGGTCTTCATTTCATAGGCCAATATCTTACTTGTCAAACTTTCGAAACAAGAATAACTTAAAATTTTTTGATCCTAAAAGTGCAATCCTTCTGTAAACCTGCATAGTTGATCATTTTCCTCTACTTATGCTTTATAAGTTCTTATTTCTCCTATTATATGCTAGGCATGATGTTACGGCTCGTCTCCTCATTGACCCGATTATATTGACGCTCGAATCGCAACACACCGAAGATATCGGATTACCGATTATGGGCAGTTTGAAGTCGAGGGACAACTAAAAAAGACTTGCCGCATGCCGCAAAGCGAACGTGGGAAATCGGGGAGGAGTCCCGTCACCCGAATCCTACTGCTACCATGCGCGCTTCGATACTAGGCGTATGCGGCGAGCGCGGCCGTCTTTCAAGCAAAGAATTTCAGAGGCTGCTTCCATAGTCCGCCGGCCGGCCCGCGAGAGCGCCGGCCGGGGGCCGTGCTTGCCCCTTGCTTACGACTGAATTTTGGTCGTTACCGCGGGCCGAGTGGTCCCCCGGCCGGCGGACTATGAAAGCAGCCAAAGCAGCGGGCCCCTATAATCGTAATCATGCATATTCTATACGCCATTCCCCTGGAACTACAGAAGCTGCTCGCGGCAGGCGACTTATGGAATTACTACTATTATATAAACTACTGGACCCGCGGTATCTCACAGCTGGTCCGGGCGCCAATTTCCACTCTCGTTATCGTGGATGCCACGAGAAAAGGAAATCGCATGATCGAAAAATTCATCAGCGCTGCTATCACAGAAAGGTTTCATGACTTAATAACAAATTTTAATGTTTTGCATTTTTGGAATCACTCTCATATGTTACATAGGTTCTTTGCATGGAGAACGCCTTTGCACATCGTCTCGACGTAACACAATATCGCAGCGGATTTTCTTTGATATGGGAAGCACTAATTGAGTGGATACAGGTGATATTGTATGAATTGTATATGTATAAATATATTAAATAATAATCCTCAAAAGATGTGGTACACTCGTTTGGCATCTCTTTCTGTGTTATATGCATTAATTTTTCCATAAGCGGTCTTAGCCAAAGCATAGAGGTGAAGAGCAAACGGTCATTAGTTCCAGAATTTGTTGTTTTCAATTTCAGAATAGTAAAATAGCAGTTACCAGTACTGGCAAACAGGTTACGCAGCAATATGATTCCTGTTGATGGAATTGATTTTTCGAACATAAGCTAAGCACACTTGTATGGTTAGTGTCCTATAGTATTCAAACTATTCCCGGCCGATGATGCACCAAAAATGTGCGGGAGGTTCAGTGGATATTTATAAATGCTCCGGTGATATCGGAGTAAATGTAACACAATAATATAGCAAATGCGGTCGTTACCACTAGTAAGGCATAGAATAATGGTAATAGATACTTCATGGGAGAGTTAACTTACGTCTTACCCTGACGCTGTTAATGGAAGGAGGTACAATGAGGGACCCACTTATCTCGGGGCTGCTTGACCCCGCACCTTTTAGGAGCATGGGTTAAGCTAGAGGGAGTCGTCTTAGACAGTGAGACAACAAGATAATTATGTTGATCGTCGCCGTAGACGACGATGACACTTGTTGTGCAGAAACTGTGCGAATGGAAATGGCTCGAAAATAGAAGGAACATCATGCGCATTTTCGACCATTTCCGCGTAAAGCGTTGCGCCTCTCGATCATTCGTTGTTTCATATAGCCATATCAATATGTGATCATTATTTTGATACAAATCTACTATTGATTCTTTTGTTCCTGTGCTTCTTACTCGCTGCTGCATTCTGCTACATTCAATCGTGATGCAATTGCATCACACCCAAGATTATATAAAGGCACCCCATTTCTCACTGCACATGTATAGTGACTCAGCTTCTAGGATTTTCATTTCGCTCATCCTGTTTTATAATTGTCTCCTTTAATGATCAAATAACTCGTGCAAACAAGATAACTCTTTAAGGCCTTCAACAACTTCCGGGTGGCATTCCTTGTCATGCTTCTTCATGATGCTCCCATCACGCTTCTTAATTTCTTCTTCATTGCGTCATGTCGCTGTGCTGGTCCATACGTTGGTGACCTTCTTATCGACCACTATTTGATCAATAGAAATAATCCGCTTCGTTATTGTCAACTATGCTAGATGCTTCACGAAGTATTTGACTGACGTCACTTCAGGATGGAATGTCATATTGAAACTCTTTCTCAGGTACTACCATGGTCACTGCTGATCTCGTCACTGTCATCTGTGGTCTCTCTTTCATGGAGAATTACCATGCTATACTTTGCGTACAGGTTCTCTTTCTGTTTCATGTATAGTACCTATCATGGTTTTATGTCCCTTAATACTTCAGACCTTTCCGTAAAAATTATTTCAGGCAGTAGGACTCACTAGAGAGTCGTTATTCCTTACCTTTTATAGGCTATACAAAAAAATTTAAAGGATTCTCGTGTCTTAGGCACTAGTCGCTACAGGATTGGATCATTCAGGCGGATGCTGTGTGCTCTGAAGCCGAAAGCGAATATGAAAGTCGCAAGACATTCAAAGCTAATGGAACACCTACAATGGGCGACTGATTACCGGTCAGTCACTTTCCAATTCATTGGTCTGATGCGTGATCGCAGCTGAAATCAACGCTATTTGCTATTTTTGTTGTATTAAATCATTGCCTTTCGACAAGACAGCGCGATGCAAAACGAATTGGTACCCCGCAACACCTGCTTACAACCTGCATCATTAAGATCGCTCTGCAAAATACTTCTATACACGAGTTGCCGGGTTACTCGCACCGCCCCATTGAAGACTTCGCTTGCTTTTCAAGTTTTTGCAAATGTCGCTGCTTATGGTACCAATATAGTGCTCTGAAAAATAGAATTTTCATCAGAAAGTTTGTTACTATTTGTCAAAAGCTGTATCGAAGAAACCCTTCAGTTTTGCACAGGTCGCGAATCAAATCCAAGACATAAAGTGCATACACACAGTGGGCTCCGACAAATTCGCTGACCCAGTCATGATAGTAACAGTGTAGTGTAGCATGCTCCAAGATCCTAACTCCATCTATGAGGCATACAGAATGAATACACGCAAAGAAGGAGTTCATGAAGAATTAGACGGGAGTATGACTTTATTAAGTCGTAACTTTTGCTAAGAAAATCCCAATCTGTTTAGGTCGATAAAAAGATGGGACCGCGCATCAATGAATGGATCTGAGGAAGATTTCTTGTGTGGCATCTTGTAGAGATTTGAGAGGTGTTCATTAGCGTAGGATTGCTCTGAGTTCGTTGAGCTGGAATTTGCTGTAATTATATGTTCAGTTAAATATAGGGGAGCTTAGGTTTTCCTCTTGCATTTTTTTGTGATGAACTCGGCGTTGATCACTTCAAGAGGCAGGGCACCTACCATTTGAATCGCCCATGTATCGGACGGCGTGACTCTATTAGAATTTGCAAAACCGGGTTGGCTTTGGCGTGATCAAGAACCTCAAAATGATAATGGCTTGCTTTGCTTATGCGAATAAGCGTTTGCCGAGCAACGTTTCACGGCTGGAGCGACAGATTTTTTTGTGGATGAACATATATTGATGTAATTGAAAAAAAGAATAGCGAGTATGCACCGCAACATCACCTTCCTTCCATTAGAGGCACGGTTCACGATAAAAATGGTCACTGAGTTCCCCCCC